ACGGCAGCAAAAGCCGTGACAAAATCGAAAGCTGATTTCAAGGAAATTTTTGGTGAAGTTATGAAGTCGAGTTTCCAGACGTCAAACAAAGTATTTTGGCAGACTTGATGGAAAGAAAGCCAAACTTGGAATCCTGGAGGACATGTTCGGTCACCTTCTTATTAAGGAAAATAATATTCTTCGAGGATGGCGAGAGTAATTTGAGGCTCGCTGCGAATATTCTTAACCTTGGCTATGGCGAAAAGACGGGCCTGAAAAGTAGTACTCAACGGTTATAAGTTCTTTCAGTGAATGAAGTCAGAAAAATCTTGAAAAGTGGTTAGGCTGCCTGAATCGATGAAATCCGCCTTGACATTCTTAGGGCTTTAGACGAGCGAGGCATGTTGAGAGTAACACTTGGCTGTAAAGCTGGGGATGATGTCGGTAGACTGGAGAACTGGAGTCATAGTATCCACATTCAGGAAGAGAGGTAATAGGGTATTTCAGTTATCAGAGAATTACCGTATTGAGCCTCCTGGGAAAAGCCTACGCAAGTGTGCTAGAAAGGAAGTGCCGCTGAATAACTGATTCCAAGATGCAAGAAGAGCAGTGTGGCTTCCGGCCCGGCCGAAGCACCTCTGACCATATATTTGCCCTGCGCCAGATTGTTTAGAAATTGTGGGAGTACGAATGTCCGGTGTACATGCGTTTTGTTGACCTAGAAAAAGCGTGTGACCTGATCCCATGTAACAGTCTGTGGTCATGCCTGCGAGTACACGGGATAGATGGCCAGCTGCTAAGGGCCATCCAATCACTGCATTCTGATGGCAGGTGCTGCGTCAGAGTTAATGGCGTTGTGTCGAAGTCTTTCAGCGTTGGCACTGGTCTCCGTCAAGACTGCGTGCTGTTCCCTATCCTATCTGTGTTGCACATGTGTGGAATAGTCAGGAGCAGCCAAGGTGATGAATGTATCAGCGTAGGAGATGTGAAGTCGAGAAGGATGCTGTTTGCAGACGACCTTATTTTATTAACATCTTCTGAAACTGATCTACATGCCATCTGAAGAGGTTCTCCGATGAATGTGAAGTGACGGCGTGCATGTGAACGCATCTAAAACGAAAGGCCTAGTGATTCCTCGTTCGCTTGCCTGTTGCACTCATCAGTTAAACTGAAAAGCAGGTGGAGTAGTAGTCTCTTCCCTGAGGTTGCGTTTAATTGTTATGAAAAATGAGTGGAGGAGGTCGACTGCGAGTTGAAATAGCCAGTGGCGCTTTGCGTCAGTTAGCCCGAACAATTAAATCTGGTTAAATCAGAGCTGAGTTTAAAAGCTGAGTTCTCTGTATTCAGGTAGATCTTCATCCCGATGCATACCTATTGTCATGAGTCGTTAGCCATGATCCCGGGTACAAACTGCTGAATGGACCTTCTGAGACGAATCGCTTTGCTCACTGGCCTTGACATGGTCCGGAGTACAGATATCGCAAAGTCTTGGTGTAAAGTCACTACTTCTCTACATTAAGAATTTATGGCTACGATAACTTGACCACCACCACGCTTAAACGTGGAACAAGGCATAAGTAGCATTATCGATGCTTTTTCATGTCATGTTCAAGAATCTACTTGCGTGGATCTTGCTTTTCGGTGCAGTTCTACAAATCGTTCTCTTAGTTCAATATACGGATATTTTCTCTCTGGACTTGACAGCGAAAAACATCTAATTCATTCATAATACTCTGTGGTTCACAGCATGCTTCAGTTCACAGATTTTACTTAATGTACGGAGACATTTACTATACGTTAATTTATTCGACTTCTCCAGAGTTCATGCCCTTTCTTCGCAGCCATTACGACGTATAGAAAGTGGTACGATCATTTCGGTTGCTGATTGTTCCTCACAGCTTGAGCGTCGAGGAGGGAGGGACGGGACGGGTTGGCAACAGCAATCAGTTTGATTTCATTGCAATAACGACGCCTGAACGACTGAGTGAAGATATCAGTTCCGTGATACTAAATGAACGGCCCAAGGGTCGTGGGAAAATTTCTTTCAGAGCTGCAGCCGGCTAAGCATTGGTCTTGCTCCAGTGGGATATTACATGTAACACGGAGTGGTGACGAACGAGACCTGCTGCTCTTGCGGTGACCCATGCAGCGTCGTCTAAGAATAATACGAATGACCCATATCGCCGTAGCGTTTTAGCGACTCTTCCCACATTTTCCCGAAAATCATGTAATGCCGATGCGCTGCAAATTTTTTATCCTCTGACGACCTGATTTCTTAATTTGATTGTTTGTGCTTCTGGACTTGATTTTGTTTCTTCGGATGACTTTGACAGCACCGAAGGAAGTCCGTGCAATTTTAGCCAGTTTTTGATGTCCTGGAATAGATAACGGTCATTTTTTGCAAAGGAATACCCCAATCATCTCTGCAACAAATGCAGAACAACCCAAAACAGCGCCGATTGCACATGGAGTGGAGGTATCTTTTGCGAGCAAGACAATCACTGGCAGTGATAATCAAAGGCGATGACTTTTATATTCTATCATGATGGTAACGGTGATAAAGGTGACAATGATTATGACGGAGATACAGTCACAGATATGACAACAACTAATGCGTTCTCTGGTTTAAGCGTTCCTGACTTAAGGGTAAAAGTTTGAAAGACGTTGCTAAGCTAAGTGCCATAAAAATTGGCCTCCAACTCGTGCCAAAAATGTGATCTTTTTTTTACATATCTTGGTCAGTCCTCGGGAGGTTCAATTCTTCATGTTCTTGAAACATTGCCCTCTGCTTAGTAGAACATCATGATAAAGCGAATGATTGACACGAATGGTGTCCTATACCCTTCAGTCTTGAATCACAACTATCCTGAACATAAATTATAGCATATAAAGTACTTCTGTGTTCTTAAGCAAAGATGAATGTAAGTACATAATGTTCTCATGACGAATCGACAGAGATCGCAGTCTAAAATATTTCAGTACGAGTTTGCACTCGGTGTCTCTGTTCCGAAGAAATCTGCCAGTTATATGATATTTTTTCCTCGATATCTGACAAGGAGGCAATGTAAGCTCTCTACATGACTATTGATGCAGCGTTGGCCTTCCGACGAGAGCTGCAGTTAAGCATGCACAAAATTTTAAGAGGCATGGAGCAACCAACATCACCGACAAGCACAACAGCAATAAAAATTTATTTAGCTGATATATGTCGAGAGTTGCCCACTGCTTATTTATATATGTTCAAGAAAAACTTTTGTCTCTGCTAGGAGACACTTGCTGACTACGCGTTACTTCAGATGCTCTCAGGACTTCAAGCCTCTCCTGTAACTTTCTGACACCCTTTCCAAATGACGCAAGTGAACTTGACAGAGAATCCTTGCTGTTGGCCGATATGCTTCTTGAAAAATCGATGACGGTGCTGATGCTCTGTTGAGATTCAGATGGTAGGTCCGTAATCAAGTAGGAACCCGAAACAGAAGAATCGATGCTCTCCGCCGACGGCAACTTAACATTTGTGACTACTTCGTTGGCGATGGTTTGAGAAGCAGGGTAGCATGACATAAGGGAATGTTGTGAAGCAACCTCGAAGCTACTTGTGTAATGATCTTCATCGGTAGAATTTGAGTAGGCGTTTAGCCCTACTTCATTCTCGCTGACCTGCACTGAACGTGAAACCAGCTCAACAGTACGTTTTAGGCTTCCGTTAACATATCGAGAATCCTGGACGGCATCGAATAAAACGTTTTCTCGATCATCTGAGAAATTAGAGAGTGATATTGCTTCAAAGTCACTTGCATAGCCGTCTTCTGATTCGTCTTCTTCATCGTTTGACGTCTCACCTTTGACTTCCTTCACTCCTTCATCGATCTCGCGTACCTGCACACAAGGTACACTTGAAAAACTTGTGCTATATTCCTTTGAAACAGACGAGGTTATGTCCGTCTCTTCTGAATTTTTACTGATCTTCTCCTTCGCTCTTTTCTCATTTGCATTTTCTTCAGAAATTAACGAGCTGCCGACCTCAATAGACATCGATCTAAACTGATCGATCATTTCTTTCCTCTGATTAGGAGAACATTGAACGCTAGCATCGACGAACCAAGGTCTTTGACTCTTTCTTCTACACGTGACCGGTTTCGACGAGGGGGGCAGCAGAAACGGATAATAAACAAACAACGAAGCTAACTTTCGCCGGTATGCCTCCGTATCGGCAAAGGAGTAGGCACGCGAGGCGTAGACCTTACTGGCAATATTGAAGCTCTGATTGGCGCCGACCAAAAAGTAATTCGGCCTATACACTTTTCTCGTATTTGCCGCCGTTTGCCTCGTTTTCCTTTGCTTACTTCCATCGAAGAGCTTGCGTAATTGCTGAAGGTCTCGAGTCGACAAATGGGCGTTTATCAATTGAATGGGAAATTTGTCTCCATATGACCGAACACAGGACTCCGTGTTGTTCGGCGATCGGAAATTCATATGATCAAACGATGCTCCCTCGTTTGAGAGTGTCTGCATCGATACGTCTTTCGAATTCGCTGCTGGCTTCTTGCA